CTTAAATAAGCCCTCTTTAAAGATGCTACAACCAACAGCAGTAGCAAGTGGACAGATACACCTGTGCCAGTTCTATGCCACAGAAGTTTCTGAAAGGTAACCTAGTACATTTATCATTTAGCAGGGAACTTAATGCAATTAAAACTAACAGGAAAATTGGCATCAAACTTTTAACTTCCTTGACACAAAACCATTTATGATCCCAAGAACAATTTTTAACAGTTGGGGGAACTTTAATGGCAGTCAGGATCACTGCTCCTGTCTACTACGTTTGCTGCTCCCACCTCCTGTGAGAATAGGAAACTATTTCCAGCATTGAGTACAGGGACAAACACCACTTCTAATAAGGCTGTATTGAAAATACATAACTGTCCAACCAATAAACATAATATAAATGATAGCCCAGACTCTGTCCAGCATGTAAATTTAATTTGTTCTTCACAAAATGTGCCAGATCTGGCAGCAGAAAGTTGAAGGGGTAAGTGGTAACGATCATTCCATGTTCTGCCTCTCAGAAAGGACTGTGGGGCTTAGGGCCATTCTGCAACTTCTAGACCCCTCACTCCCAGCTGTCACCCTATTATCTTGAATGTAACTCAGGAGCTACACAGAACTCCACTGAAAACAATAATAACTTTAACAATAACAATAAACTTTTGAAAACACAGGAAATTGTCCCTATTTGAAATATTAAAGCTAAGTTAATCTCATGTCCCAGATCTCTGAATGCCACTAGAAATCAACCTCTGGTTTAAAAAGTGATTACTGAAGCTATACCCACACAATATTAAGTCCACGTTGATCAGTAGAAGGAAATTCCATTAAAAACTCCTATTCTCAATAGCATTCCCTCCAATGCTGTTGAGAAGCAAAGACTCTTTGATTGTTGAAATAATTTGCAGTTTGTGGTTCTCTTTGGTACTGAATACACAAACAGTGGAGAGAAATGACAAAAACTTCTTACATCTACAGTCAGTTATATAACTCAGACCTATTTATGAAACACACATTTCTATGCTCTGAATAAATCTTTTAACACATTTATTCTCTTGCATAAGAATAAAGTCATCACGCGTCCTTCAGAAAAAACATTTATAAGCTTTAAAGCACAAAATAGGTCAAACACACCACTTAATACCACGTTCTCTACAGCTCCATTTAAGAAGCCTGTTCTCAGATCTCCATCACATTCAACTAGCTTTCTCCTGCCTCTCCAGTGTCATAATAAGGCAGTTTTGTTCCACTAGAACTCTGGTGACTAAAACTTTCAAAAAGGGAAACAAGACATTCAGATAACCTGTTCCCACTGCATTTCAAAGCCTACCTGTTGGTTGCAGCTCTCTGCATTAGCCTCCTTTGAAAAACCTCAGCCAAAATTGACACTCAGAGCTGGAAGAGGAACTTGGGAAACAAGTCTTAGAGAACTGGATGTGTATTCTGCAAGCAAGTGCTGTGTGCCTCACCACAGACCTTAGTGCAATTCAAGATACACAAAGCTCAAATCTTCAGCTTAGCCTTCCCACAGCTACACAGCAGCCACACAGTTAAGATCAGTGCATATAAAAGTCAGTGTTGGCTGGAAATGAACCTTCCCCCAATGCACTGTTGAAGACTAATTGTCTTTGACACTTGGACAATCATCTTCAATGAATTAGATCAGTACAGGCGTCTTTGGAACCTCAAAGACTACAAATATGCCTTGGAACAGAATCGTATATGGTCCACACCAATTGCATTTGTAGCCAAAAAAAATCCTTATTGAAATCCATGGAATAATTATAAGCTGCAGATAAAAGCATCAAGAAGAGATGAAACTGTCTGAAGCTCCAAAAATCTGAGAAGTTGTAACATCCAGAGAAAGAGAAGAGCTGGAACAAGCTCTAACGATAAGAGCAGCACTCTTATACAGAAAAGGTCTAGTCCAATCCAAACAATTAAAGACAATCCTAACAAGTTAAAACTCTGTCTCATCATTACACAACAATAATAAGTGACAGCTAGATCCCATATACTGTATTTCATAGAGTCACAGAGTGGGTTGGGTTGGAAGGGACCTTGAAGATCATCGAGTTCCAACCCCCCTGCCATGGGCAGGGACACCTCCCACTGGACCAGGTTGCTCAAAGCCCCATCCAGCCTGGTCTTGAACACTTCCAGGGATGGGGCATCCACAGCTTCTCTGGGCAGCCTGTTCCAGTGTCTCACCACCCTCACAGGAAAGAATTTCTGTCCAGTATCTAATCTAAATCTCCCCTCTTTCAATTTAAAACCATTACCCCTCGTCCAGTCGCTCCACTCCCTGATAAAGAGTCCCTCCCCATCTCTCCTTTAGGCCCTTTTTAGGTACTGGAAGGCTATAAGATCTCCTTGGAGCCTTCTCTTCTCCAGGCTGAACAGCCCCTCAGCCTTTCCTGAATTTATGTTAAACTAAGTTCATGATACCTGAAAAACTCAAAACAGCAAGAAATAAATGCACTTGTCTAGTAAATTAAGAACTCTGCGCAGTCAGACTCATCAGAAAGAAGAGAAAAGGCAAGTATTATTCTCTTCCAGTATCTGTATCATAAACACCCCAGTTACCAACTGCAGCAAAGATAAGTGGCTTTAAGGAATTTTTAACTACTTTGATTTTATTTTTAGATAGTACTAACAAAGCAATGGATTATTTATTTTTTTTTAAATCACCCAATAGTAGGTTGAACATAAACAGATATTTGATGTAATTAATTTGGACCCTGAAAAATATTACAGTCTTTATGTACAGTTCCTTGTTGACTTCTGCTTACACAACTACTCAACACTGATTACTTGCACAGACTGTAACTCTGCAGAACAAACAAGACAGATAAATTCTTACTGTGATCTATTCAGACTGCAGATCTGTCTACAGATATGCCTTGTTGGGGTGAACCTGCTAAAAAATACTCTAAAATGAGCAACATACTCAGTCTAGAGCTCAACATGATGTAAGCTACAGCCATCCTACAGATGTACATGCAGATTCAAAACCTTATAGTGAGACCCTGATTCAAAAATACAGAGCTACCATTTTTCTGTCTCCAAACACGTTCTCCTCCTTATTCCCTACCCTTCATCCCTTACGTTATTCCCTACTTCCATCATTATAAATCTGGACACTGGGTTCACCTTCTCTTCATTTCCACACTAGTGTAGCTCCAGTTACCCTGGCTCAGCACACCACTCAAAGTACAGCAGACCTCTTTCACACCATCTGATTAAACTGCAGATTGACCGTCACCTCCAGAGACTTTGTACTGGTTTGGCTTAAGTTGGCAGCAATGTTTGTTCACTCTGGGTGGGGTTTTTTTTAGAGGTTGGTGTGTTTTGGGGGTAGATTTTTGGTTTTGGTTTTTTTTGGTGTTTTTTTAATTCACTAGCAGTCTGTTCCTAAATACTGGACTATAGCTTGTACATCAAGAATGAGATCCAAAGCACTGCTAAATCTCAAGTTGTCTTGCCACTGCAGTGATCTTGGGATTAAAAATATTAAGATGGTGCCAAGGGTGAGCTACAAATACCAGAGGCTGCTCAACACAGGTCATGGAAGAAGTTAGTCCAAGGACTCACATTGGGCCTGCTCACATTGTACCTGCTCTTTTCCTACAGTCCTCTCACATCCCTACCTCACCAGCACTGCAATACTCAGCTTCTTCCCTATTCTGTAATATTTCCCCCAGCTTCTTTGCTGCAATGGTCTCTTCAGTTCCGTTTCTGACAAAGACAGAACGTGTAAGCAGCAGAAACACGCTCACACTGATTGATTTGTTAGGAAGGAACTGTTGTTTCTCATTACAGTAACCCCTTCCCATGCCTGCCTGACAACTGGTAGGCCAAATGGTTTTGTGGCTCATTTGGCATCTCACATTTCCTATTTCTCAAAACAATCATCTTTCCCATTACATTCCATTTCTATTTTTGCAGAAAAACTAAATCCCTCCTTACATTCCTGAAAGCAAAATGATACAAATTGCAATACCCTACCAGCTCCTTTAACTTTCTAATCAATTTATAATGCACTAATTAATACCACCTTATCATCTGAACATACAATTTGAAGGCTTCCCTAAGGCTAACATTCAAAGAACAGATTCTTTCTCCCTAAGACACAGAGCCTTCCACTAAGTCCTGAAGCTCTTAACAGGAGATCCTGCAAGGCTGTGCTACTCAGTAGCTCAGCGTGCTGCCAAGCTCCCTCACACTGTTCAAAGGCAGTTATGCTGTTGGAAGGCGAGTGCACACGGAGATGGCTGTGCTGCCGTGCATTTCCATGCCCAACTGTTGCGCAGATACAGCCAAGGCACCCTACTTCAGAAACAATACTGAAAAATTACAAAGGAAAGGAAACAGTTCTGTAGAATTCCTATTGCCGTATCTTTTTTATAAGGCTTTTCACAGATGCACATCAAAGCTACATTTTTGCTACCATCGTGAGCCATCTATAAAAGCCAAGCACAAAATATTATTTTACTGGATTCAGCTCTTTTTGCTTCATGATGACAGCCCTAATGTTGATAATATTATCAGCATTATGGGCACGAGAATAAGGTGCCATGATAATAAGCTGTACCCCTTCAGTGAGAGGTAGCACTGCCCTGAAATATGGATCAATATTCTGCTGCAAACACGCATCTGAATGCTTCACAATACTCATATTTGCAATAGGGAAATATTTAACATCTCATAAACTGAGGCAGAAGTAAACAAATTCTCTGGTAAAGGAGGGAATCAAACTCCCATGTGCTGATACCAATCAGTGGACCATCCTTCTTTTCAGGACTGAAAGGGACAAAATGGATGGGAGGAGAAAGCACCTACCACAATCCGATACCCAGATTACACTCAATTCAGGTCTCCTGAAATCCAGTTTACTGCCATTGAGGTTACACCAAGTATTGTACTAATACTCTCCTACTGAAATTAGACTTGAAACAGAAGTTTACAAAATAGTAATGGGTGACAATCAGGCAAAGAAGCCTCACCTGAATGAGATAGTGAGAACATAAACTGAGTAGCTCCAGCAGCTGCAAATGACTCCCAGCTGCTAGGACATCCTGTATCACCCCTGGTTCCAAGAGGATCTGGAAAGAAGAAAATGGAAGGTTTGTCATGCAGAACTCAGAGTAAATACTCAGAGAAAATACTGCAGGCCTTTGTTATTTCAGACATTTAATTCAACATAAAGGACAGAAAGAGTACAATTAAGCCTACAGAGAAGTCTTTGCAGTATGGGAACAGAGTTTTTAAAGTTCACCTGAATTGCCCAAGGGATTTTAAGCAGATTTTTCTCATGAGAGTCCAGAGGCCACATTACCCCCTAAATTCTTTAAAACTAAATACATGCTATTTATTTTAAAAGGAGACTTTTCAAAATAACAGAACCTCCTTTTGTTATCTGTATACCTGGACGTTTCCATATATACTGATGAATCAGCCAACAGAATTGACTCAAAAATCTCCAGTATTAATATTATTCATGCCTGTAAAAAATATACAGGCCAGGAACACCCTTCCCATTCTGCATGGTACCACTTCATAATTCTCCTAACCACCATCGTCATTTTACAGAGCAAGACTGTGAAGGCACAGAATGAGCAGGCTGCTGGGGATGTGCCAGAAAGGGCTTAGAAACCAAGACTGATTATCCTGTCACTTGCTCACATGAAACTCCTACTCATTTCAATTAAAATCACGCACAGGCAGCAGCCAGGATAATTGGGCCTCAGCTCCCAGCCTGGTGTCTTAGGGTCAGCTTGTTAGAGCATCCCTTTCAGGACACAAAAAAAGTCTTTGGGAATACAGACACTGGTCAACTTCTCATCAGTAATCACATTCAAAACTATCCAAAATAATATTATTTAAATATAAGTAGTGCAGCATCCAACAAAATTCAGAAATGCAGGAAAATGAAAAAAATATTTTTTCAAAGATACTCAGTTTATTCAGAGCTTTATCCTTGTTGTATTTCCCTTGGCAACTTTGGTTTCACACCACATGAGGTCAGTCTCTCACTGCTCCACAGGGAAGAAAAGCTTTTTTTCAGATCCTTTTTCTTCTGCCCACACAATTTAGTTTTATCTCACAGCATCATTTATATTTCAAATGCAGTGGAATAAGGAGGACGGCAAACAAATGGAAAGACAATCATCTGCATCTTTTGGACTTAAACGGTTTTTGAGGGAAATTAAAAACACAGGTATGCATTTCTTCAAGCAAAACCACAAATTATCTCCAACACAATAGCTCTATTAGGTGCAGGAGAGAATAGGACTGATTTTTGTTTATATCAGGAAGTCATTTACATTGAGTTCTGTCAGTGTATGACAAGCTTAATGCTTGGGTGTTAAGCCACAGAATCACATGGGATTGGAAAGGACCTCTGGAGATCATCTAGTCCAACCCCCCTGCCAAAGCGGGTCTACCTAGAGCAGGTTGCACAAGAACTTGTCCAGGTGGGTTTTAATGTCTCCAGAGAAGACAACTCCACCACCTCCCTGGGCAGCCTATTCCAGTGCTCTGCCACCCCCAAAGAAGTTCTTCCTCAAGGTGGAACTTCTTACATTCAAGTTTGTGCCCATTTCCTCTTGTCCTATCCCTGGGCACCACTGAAAAAAGACCGGCCCCATCCTCTTGACACCCACCCTTTAAGTATTTATAAGCATTGATCAGTTCCCCCCTCAGCCTTCTCTTCTCTAGACTAAAAAGACCCAAGTCTCTCAGCCTCTCCTCGTAAGGAAGATGCTCCAGGCCCCTAATCATTTTTGTAGCCCTCTGCTGTAACCTCTTCAGCAGCTCCCTGTCCTTCTTGAACTGGGGAGCCGAGAACTGGACACAGTACTCGAGATGGGCCTCACCAGGGCAGAGCAGAGGTGGAGGATAACCTCTCTCGACCTGCTGGTCACACTCTTCCCAATGCACCCCAGGATGCCACTATGTAGGTATCACTATATAGATATTCATACTAGGCTTTCAGTGAGCATATATGTACCTTACATACTGTATAAAGGTTCTTTATCTAGCCAAATAGACATGAAAGGATCTCCAGGCCCAGCACAATCCAGGTTTTTGGCTGCTACGCATGACGAGAGGTAGTTCGATGGAAAGTCAGAAAGGATTTCAGTTACAGAAATATCCCAAATAGGTATTTTTTTTTTAAATGAGCAGCATTGTCAAATATTTTCAAGTGAGAACTCAAGGTCAGACTGACAAAACAAGCTGGTTCAGACCTTGCAGTGTTTGTTATTCAGACATCATTTACACTGAGGAAGTTGTAATCTGATGTCGTATTACTTACTAAGTGCCACCCACCAGCTTAGCAATGTTAAAGACACAACATGAAGAGAACTAGAACCCTAAGCAGATTACTACCTTGTAGGCATAGACAAACTATATTTAACTGTGATAATATTAATGTATTTTAAAGCTGCAGCAATCCATTTACAAGTAATTCTGGTAGCATTGTGAGAAATAGGACAAGAGGCAAAGAGGGTGACAATTTACTACTTAGAGGTGATTTGCACAGTCAGCAACAAAAGTTGATTTGAAGGTAGCAGATATATTTCTTCCATGTTTTTCCATTTCATAGAATCACAGAATGGTTTGAGTTGGAAGGGACTTTAAAGATCATCTAGTTCCAACCCCCTGCCATGGGCAGGGACACCTCCCACCAGACCAGGTTGCTTAAAGCCCCATCCAGCCTGGCCTTGAACACTTCCAGGGATGGGGCAGCCACAGCTTCTCTGGGCAACCTGTTCCAGTGTCTCACCACCCTCACAGTAAAGAATTTCTTCCTGAGATCTCATCTAAATCGCTCCACTTTCGATTTAAAACCACTACCCGTCACCATATCGCTTTACTCCCTGATAAAGAGTCCCTCCCCATCTCTCCTGTAGGCCCTTTTTAGGTACTGGAAGGCCACAATAAGGTCTCCCTGGAGCCTTCTTTCCTCCAGGCTGAACAACCTCAACTCTCTCATCTTGTCCTCAGAGGAGAGGTGCTCCAGCCCTCTGATCATCTTTGTGGACCATACAGCATTTATTCTGTTGAGATAGCATATTCACCTTTGTCTTTCCCAAGATAACTAAGGAAAGTCTACCATGTCTCTTCCCAAGACTTTGCCTTAAATGGGACTATCTGAATTTATATTCAATGCTCATTTGGATACAGGCAAAAATACTAATTCCTCTATGCTAAATGCTCACCATCAGCCAACTACAAGCTGGGGAAACCCATAAGAAAAACAGAATAAGAAAATGTTTTAACCTTTTCTTCTACTGAAACTCACAGGTAATTCACAATTATTCCACACCTCTTAGCTTCTATACATTAATATAAATACTTGATTTTTATTAATTATACAACATAGCTGTTTATATGCTATATAGGCCGTCTAGCTGAATCTTAACACTCAATGCACAAAAATACCACCATATGCATACCACAAGTACACAGAGTGACTGACTCTCCTGTTGGTCTAACAGGCCTGAGGTCTTCAGAGTGATTATTGAAAATTAAGGAGAAGAAAACTAAGATCTACTATGGATTCATACCTTAAAATTCATCACAAATAACTAGTTTGAAAAGTAAAGAGAGAAGCTTAATCATTTTCCCTACACCATCCTCAACCCAAGGATTATGAAGCATAATTATCAGGGCAGAAACTCAGAGTAATTTGGAATCATTTGGCTTCAGACAAACTTTGCAATCTTCACTAGCGAAGGATGTGCCTCTCATGAAACACGCCATCTTAAGACTGGTTTCTGTGCTATTTTTATATTAAGATAATTAGGTGCAATTCAGGTATTGCACCTGGCTGCATCTTACAATCAATCCTCTATTCAACCTTTAATTCTGAGGGTTAATTTTCATTATGCTCTCAACTCTTCTCTGGCTTGTGATGTTACCCAAGGAAATCAGCGTAACCACCTTCTCTCTGTATACAATGGACAGATCTTCCAGATGGCCTGAATAACTTACTTTCCCAAGCCACCAGGTGTGACATACTGCTTGTTTTCAAACTGATATCCTCTGTCAAACTAGTTTTCTCCTCCTTCACAAAGACTGTGTTTTCAAAAGGAATCCTGTTCTTTAAGGCAGCCATTCTACCTTCCATTATCCCACAAACCCTTCAAAAAGCATTCACTAAATCCCATTCTCTCCCTCTTGTGGTCAGAACCATAAATCAAGGCATAGAAAGGATGCAAAAATGTGGTGTTTCTCTGCAACAGGATGTGGAGTTGCAAGATCCAGAAAGGCAGATTACACAATTCCTTAGATCCACATTTCTTAGACATACAATTTAAATCTACATGTAAAGGAATCCATTTATGCTTCATTGATATATTGGGGAAACCTGCTCTGCAGATGCAAGAATTAGAAACTTTTATAAATGAAACCTGAGCCTCTGAAGCACAATTCTGAGGCAGAAACAGGAATTCTATGAGTCCCATGGTCACAGATACATATGGCCCTGAACACTCCCATGTACACCTATCCTCTTGGCAGCAGTTCCATAACTGGAATTCATTCCCCCTTTCCCCAAGGTTTCCCTCTTCCTTTCCCAACTCACCCTGCATCCCCTCCAACCCAGTAAGTACATCTTAGGGCTCTGGGTAAGCATGGAAAAGATTAACTGGAATCACACATCTTGCCCCTCTCCAGTTTTCTTTAGGAGACTTCTTGGCAACATAGAGCAACTAGCAGCTAAGCCTTCTTGGGCTAGGAGCAGTGTATGAACCACCATCCTTTCTCAAGGACAGCTGCTCATGCCTCACCTCCACACTTCCCAGACTGAGAACATGTCCCTACTCCTTAAATGCCTCCCACCTTCCTACAAACAAACCAGTATAAGCCAACAAAAAAATTGTATGGTCATAGCAAAGAGGGAAGTAACGGACAAAAGAGAGCAGGGAGGAAACTCCTTAAACTGTCCTTCTCAACAAAGAAACTCACAGCCTAAGGCCCAGATTAACTATCACCTCTATGGAGTCTCATGAGGTTTATAACTAGAAAGAACAACTAGATTATTTAATCTATTCCCTGTACATTGCAGGCCATTATATTTCATCCAGACACTTTTAAA